TATTAAACAACACATCTGCCAGGAGCATTGAAGATCCATGTGGAACGGGTCGTGATTTAAAACTGAGATTTATATTTTTTAAAATTCCCGTTAAAATATTCATGCACAACAGCCGCACTCTGAAATATTCTCCCTTCTCACACTTTCTGCAGTGTTAATGCAGTACTTAAGGATTATGTAGTTTCCAGGCTTCTATCCTACCCACACCACTTAAAGCAAAAAACACTTGACGTTAAGCAGCACAAGTGTTACAGGCCATTTTCAACACTTCTATACAGAGACGAAAGTGCTCTACTGTAACCATATGTTCAGAGGTGGACCTGACCAGCTCATCCCTGAACGTATTTATGCATCTTTCACAAAGTGAATTGACACAAAAAACACTAATCCTCTTGTTCTTCTACACAACTATATTATGCATCTTATATTACATGTAAGAGCAGAGGCAGCACATACTATCAACAATTACCAACATTGGAGAAATCGCACTTCTATCAATATATAAGAATTCGTGCTATAGATCCCTTTAAGTTCAGGAAGAGCAGTAAGGGCTGTATTATAATTGCTATCTGCATAACTTCCTTACTTTCTTTGTTGTCTTGGTTTAAAGATTCCTGCTCGGGCTCCATCCTCCGATGTTTGACGCATGTAAATGAGTTCCAGGCTATTCCCTTTAAGTCTGTAATTGGTGCATTAATCAGTGTCTGGGAAGCCCACTGGTTATGTTCAGTAAATTTAGATGCTTCCTCCACAGTCACAACTGTGTCGCAGTTCATTGATGCAATCCCATAACATAGCTGGGCTTTGGCATGACTTTAAAACAAGGATTTACTGCAATAGCTCCTTAAGTCTTATTCATGTTGTTCATCCATCATCTCCCATACAGTGGATACAGTGAATATTAAAGCTTTCAGACAAATGGAATAAACAGGCATGTAACAAACTGAAACCCTATAAATTACAAATGATAAATACACATAGAATTCCTCGTAATCGCTAATCTGTGTTCAGCTTCTGACACTGAGTTTGTTTTACACCCCCAGTTTAATTTTTAGTATGGTATTGCATTTTAAGAGTTCAACAGCAGAATGATAATAGACAATCTATTAGGGGCAGAGGCCCCTTGCCTGCAGTGCATTTTCTGCACATTAATGATTACATTAGGTTTAAAGCTCAACAATTAGTGAAGGTTATGCAGGAGTACCGTAAACATATCACCTGGACATCACAAAGCCGATACACATGAACTAACAACAAGCTCCTCCTGCTCCACTACACAGAAGACTACATTGAGCAAACAATGTAGTGTAAGCTAGTAACTTTGCATTTATTATATAGAGCAGTGTAGTTAGTTATAACATACGGGAGTAAACATTGACAAGTTGTACATACAGTACACTACACATATTATAAGTGGATAAAACACTCTTGGCAAATGACAGAACAGGACAGTGGTATGATCGTCCCCCACCCCCCGCAAGGTGCTATTATATGTGATCGCAATGTATATGGGAGACAAATGTAAAAGCCTTGGTTCACTTCAACTGTAATTAAAGCACAAACTAGAAGTTATAAAGCGCTATTCTGTCGACTGATATTTCTGTATTTGTTCAAAAGGTGTCCATTAAACAGTGAGATAGTTCATATTGAGAGATTGGGTATTGATGTAATGTTCATTATAAAAGCCAAGTTAGTTTTCTGCTTGAAATATTTCTCCATCGAGGAGTGAAGATATATGCTTGAGCTACGAGTCAAAATATTTGAAAGAGCAAAGGGATTTGGACGTGTTCTGGTGCCAAAATCTGTCTAACAGAGATACAAAGGTTAGAACTTTCAATTTATAGAATAAAATTTGTGCCATTTCACAGTGGGCACTTCTGTGCTGATTATCACAAGATGTTACAACTTTACATGTTCCTGAAATAGATTTGCGCACACATCTGGACAGATAAACAATTTAGTCTGTTCTTCTCTTCTCAAGCTGCATTCCTTATAATTACTCTATTCTTTTGATGACACATTGTGTTGACTGCAAAATAAATTGTAATTATTGCTAGTGGCCAATGGTTGGTTTGAATGTATATGATTGCTTTAAATCCACTCTTCAGGAGCGCTACAAAGTATTGTTCACTAAACGTCAGAGAGAATCACGACTAAAAGCCAACCACCAAGCTCTTCACTAAACAAATGGGGGTGGGGGTTGTATTTGATGGGTTGATCATCACATTATGCACGCATATCATTCCCCCCAACCCCCCCCCCCCCCATACATAGCACACTCGAAGTGAGGACATGCTAAAGTTCTGAGAAAATTTTATTAAACTTTAAACTTCCCAACACCCTGACTCCTGTCAGCCAATCTATGCCTAAACCTTCAGGGATTAGGTGAGTAGGGTGCGTCCCTGCTGGGAGAGAGTGAGCACACTCCATTTTTCAGACAAATGGAAATTTCCAAGCATACATGGAACTCTCAAGTCATTTGATTTGGATACTCTTTAAGTGTGGTGATGGGTCCCTATTGTATCAGACCATACACTGATGAAAATAGAATAAAACTTTAAACTCTGTTTACACCAAAAAATCAGCAATACAGTGGAGCAGTGCTCATCTTTGTGAAGCCATAGTCATCACTGCTGCACGAAATTTGAAACAATATATTTAAAACTATTGTTTTGTTTTTGATACCCATTACACATTGAGTTACAGTATGTTTTTGCTACCAAGTTATATACTGAGGTTGAAGAATTACTCCACTGGCAAACTTGCAGAGGGGGGAGGAGGTGTGTGGGGGAGAAGCATCATATCACCCAAGCATCAAAGTGTGCTAATGGCACCTAACGATCCTGCCTTTCCTGCAGGGACTCCTGTTTATGTCTTTCCAACCTGCAGGACCTTGGTTCTTGGCAAGGCACAAATTGTACCACAGTGTTTTTTGTCATTTAAGCACGTTTCAATGTTGTACTCATTGGGAATCTTATTCCAATGATTTATAATGAACCATCCGTATTTCATTACCATTAATTAAGACATCAATTGAAATGCAGTGCAGCGGCAGCTTAGGGCCATATAATTGACAGAGAACCCTTCTTTGTAATGACAATTCATGTTTTGGTATCCTTGTGGCAACTGGGAAGAGTCTGAAATCTAAGGTCTAGTTTGTGTTCGTTTTAATTCATTCAGAAGATACAAAGTATAATTGCACAGGTGTTGGGAAAAGTATAACTATGAAAGGCTGTAGAATAGCTGGTGCACCAAATACCTGTGTAAGAATTCCAGTACATAATAATAATAATAGTCCTTGCATTTGATATAGCGCTTTTCACGTTTTCCAGACGTCTCAAAGCGCTTCACAGAATAATAATAATAATCCTTGCATTTGATATAGCGCTTTTCACGTCGGGAGGACGTCCCAAAGCGCTTCACAGAACACACCGTAAAGCTAATTGACTGTATATTTGTGGGCGAAACGCGGCAGCCAATTGCGCACAGCAGTGTCCCACAAACAGTTGTAGATTGAAAATGACCAATTTATTATTGTTTTTGGTTTGGAGGGATTATTATTACATATATGGCTTGTCTAGTTTAGATTTGTTTCAGTTAATATTGTACACTGTGTTGCTGCAAGTATACCTGTTTGAAGTATACTCTGTTGCAGAGATAGTATGCCTGTTTGAAATGTTCATGCAGTTGTGTGGAACTCTCAGCTATTTGGGTTGGATGCTTTTAAGCATGGCAATGTGTGTTCGTTCATATGTTTCAGACATCCGGCTGACTAAGAAAAAAAGAGAAAAGAGAGTCCCATTTAAAGCTCATGTTGCTGAGGTCAGTAAACTTTCTAACCAGTGAAGTGTGTGATGTGCTTACCCACTGATCTAACTTAATTTACCCATGGTGGAGAATCAGCCATATCTGTAACTATCCATCATTACTGAACTTGGAGGCTTCAAGATACTGGAGCCACAGCATGTAATTTATATTTTAAAAAAATGAATTGTAAATGTGTAACATAATCATACAATTTTTACTGGAATAATACAAATCATGTTAAAAGCCTCCCAATTAAATTTGACACTGCGAGACAGAAACAGTAGAAGGCTCAGAGGGGTGTTTGTGAGAGGGGAGTGGCGATACTTTTAGTGAGATCACGCAAACTACATTTCCGGACAGCTCTCAGTAGAATTACTGTTAACAAAAATGGCAAATTGAAGCCCAAACAGTTTACAGAGACTGGATGCAGTGGTGATGGGCAAGTGTTGCTGTTGGATTAACAAAGATCTTCAATTGACAGAATAACGTTATACCACACAGCTGCAAATGAATAATACTTGACAGGTCTGGGGGAAACAAGCTCTAAACCATAAAAGTGCTTCTCGAATTTATCTTTACTTCCACTACTTGTGTTTACTTCCACCCATGCGCTATAATATCAATAGTTCCTTGAACAAATGCTTATAACCCTTCATTACAATATCCACTTGCCAGGTTCAAATCCCATGGTTAGGATTTACTACAAGAGTTGTTTCTGTACTGTAAAGTAGGAGGCCTGGGGTTCACATCTGTATTGCAAATATGGGGCCCACATTTGTACTGTATGAGGTGTGGGCCCCACATCTGTACTGCAGGTGGCACTGCACCCTCATCCATACTGTGGAAGGTTTGGGGCCCACATCTGTACTGTTGGAGTTGTGGGGCCCACATCTGTATTGTAAACACAAGAACCGGGGATTCCTTCAGCTTCTCAACCTGTACAAAAAAAAGTTTTTTTGAATAACAATCAGAAGACCAACAAAAACAATACAGATTCATAGGAAGAAATTCCACTTTTTTACTCCATTTGTGTAGCATTTTACAGAACCCAGAATTTGACAAACTACTGAATTCAGTATTATCTTTGAAGCTGTTTTCGTCGTTCTTAATAATAATAACAATAATATAATCCTTGCATTTGATATGTGCGTGAAACTTAAAAAGAAACTTACAGAAAAACAGCTTAATTATAAAATCTGGTAAATTTTGGATTCTCCAAAATGCTGAGATAATGGAGTACGTCTGGACCACGGTGGAATTTTATCCCCCCTCAGTGCCTAGAGTTTTTTAGTCCTTTGTAAACTGGACAAATGGCTGCAAGTGGAGAATGCTTGAAACACTGTTCAAGTCTCTCCCTGTGGGCTGATCCTTGGGGCGGGGGGTGGGGGGGGAATGAAGAAGCTCGGCTAGGGCGATGGGATTAGTTGCCAGGACTCTGTTCTTCTTCTGGCCCTGCAAAAAAAAGAAACAAAATGTTCATCAGAGTTTTATTCAAGGCCATGTGTGGGGGAGCTGAAAGAGAACAAAATTTATCACTATATTTCTCAGCAGCTTAGGATCTGTACACATGGCAGAAGCAGCACTGATTGAAATGGGTTCTATCCAATCCATCTTAAGTCCTGAATGAATTCACCACGCGAGTTGATACAGCAATGAAAATAAGTTTTTTGATGAAGAAGCTAAGATTATAACAATAGTGTTCCTTTAGACAGGGCTGTGGCCTCCAGAATATTTTTAATGTTGTTTTCTAACCAGATGTTTTGATGATGGAATAAGGCACTATATTAAATAGAATTTCATATATATATATACAACAACAAGATTCCATTCATAGAGCGCCTTTTACGTCGGGAGGACGTCTCAAGGCGCTGGACAGTTGGGTCAGGACCCGAGCAGGGGGGAAATGGTCAGGGTGAGGGGAGGGAAGGGAGGGAGCGAGGAGGGGGTAGAGAGTCGAGAGGGGAGCTGAAGGCATGGTCAAAGAGAAAAGTCTTGAGACTGAAAGGGAGGAAGCGAGGCAAAGGCACTGGGGGATAGAGTTCCAGAGCCTCGGGGCTGAGAGGCTGAAGGCCCGGCCACCGATGGTAGGGCGGTTGGGGCGGGGGATGTGGAGCAGACCGGAGCCAGAGGAACGGAGTGTACGGGCAGGTAGGTAGGGGGATAGTAGGTCGGAGAGGTAGGAGGAGCGAGGCCGTGAATAGCCTTGTAGGTGAGGATGAGGATCTCACCAGTGTTCTCTGATGTGATTGAAATTAGCACAGTGAATTCTGCTATTAGTAACAATTGCAACAGCAGAGTTAACTATAGAACAGAACAGATTACTGAAAAAGATGTTGGTTGGAAATGTCTCTAGGTCGGTTAGCACGCAAATCAGAATGCTGAGGGAAAGAGTAAATAGCAGAGTCTCTGACCACAATATTTCAAAGATGTTCAGATATGAAAATTAGAAAGTGCTAGAGAACTGAAGGGTTGCCAAAGTCACAGCATTGTTTCAGAAAAGATGCACAGGTCATCTGAAAATCTGGAGTGGGTAAACTTTTAGAAACCGTAACATAGGATAAAATTAACACTGACTTTCAAGAGGATGGGTTAATTAATGACAGTCAATATGGAATTGTAAAAGGCAAGTCTTCCGAACCAATTTTTTTGATTGATTGCATTGATAAAGGGAATGCAGTAGCAGTGAATACAAATTTTCAAAGGCAGTTGATAAAATACCACAAATAGACTAGTTAACAACTTAAGGCACATATAATAGGTAGTGTAGAGTGTTAACAGAAAGTTGGTTAAAGGACAGAAAAGACATCAAGGATAAATGAATGTTTCTCAGAATGGAACAATGTAAATAATGGAGGCTTTCAAGGGTCAGTGTTAAGACCATCGCTGTTCTCAATATATAAATGACCTGAACTCAGGTATAGAGGGCACAATAACAACATTTGCATACAGAAAAATAGGGAGCGAGGGAGCAGAAGTCTGCAAGTAGCTTCAGAAGGACATGGACAAAGGTGGTGAACTGTCTAAAACAAAACTGAACTACGAGATCGATACAGGGGAGGAGAACAGTAATCCCCTATTTACACAGTACTATTTGGATGAATTAAACACAAAGCTTGCACTGAATCAATGTTAAAAATGCAGCAGAAATATCGTTCCTCGGTTACAATCTTGAAGTAATTGTGGCCACCTTGACACAATGCTTTTGCCAGGACGCTGATTCTAGCAATTCCAGTACAAGTAATTCACAGATGTAAATGTTGTGGACTTACTGATGGTGATATGTATGAAGCCAGCCTTGTGGAACTGGATGTCTGGCTCAAGGCAGTTAATGCTAGTTTGCAGGATATCAGCCTTTTAGTAAAGAAAAAGCTCATGGTAGCTAGTATCCAGTTAACCGCAAGTCAAATGCCATGATCCAAAATCACAGCGTCACGAACATCACTGTTGAGAACAGCATCTGAGGGAGTCTATCTGTGGCACATCCAATGAGAATAAATATGAAATGAATCATTAAACTGACCCCATTGTCTGTACTACTTCTGGATGATTCTGTTTTGAAAGACCTTCCAAAAAAATCTTGGATCTTAAATATTAGCCTCACAGACCAAACTCCATCAAAGAGCTCCAGTTAGGTTACTGTGGGGTAATTCTCAATCACTGGTAAATTGACCAAGTGCCTGGGAAGAAAGCATATCTTTATCCTATTCTCTACTGGTCGGCAAATGTGATGACTAGAAGACAGCAAAACAATATAAATCTATTCATCTTTCTCCATAGAAATATACAACATTTAAATAATAATAATAATAATCCTTGCATTTGATATAGCGCTTTTCACGTCGGGAGGACATCCCAAAGCGCTTCACAGAACACACTGTAAAGTGAATTGACTATATATTTGTGGGCGAACGCGGCAGCCAATTGCGCACAGCAGTGTCCCACAAACAGTCGTAGATTGAAAATGACCAATTTATTATTGATTTTGGTTTTGGAGGGATTATTATTAGGCTGTGTGGAGTAAGGAAACTTGCCCAAGGTTTTGCCCCGCCTGGAATTGAACTCAGGTCTCTCGCTTGCAAAGCGAGTGCTCTAACCACTGAGCTACTGGACTCCAAAATCAAGGGTCATTGTATTAATGTCAGTAGTTTTTAATGGAGATGATTTCTCTTTAAGCTTCTGTTCAGGGAGCTGACAGTTCCTGTAAAAAAAATGATACAAGCTTTCTTTGCATAAATGTGAACTTTTTAAATCTGTCATTCTTGCATTGGAGATTCTCACTAGATTAAAAGTAAAACATTTGCAAGTACAGTAATACTCTAGTTGTGGTATGATAGTGATACTTCCACCAGAGGGCAGCCAAGTCCTTTATGAAGCAGGTGGATCCATTACATAAGCCTTGAAATTCCAAATTTAGTGTGTAAAATAATAATATAATAATAATCCTTGCATTTGATTTAGAACCTTACAACACCAATGAGATGTCTCAAAGTGAACCACAAGATATACTGTAAAGTATATCCTGTTTACATAATTACACAAATATATAACTATATATCCTTTAACATAAATAGTAATATATTACAATATAATTATACTACATATATATAATTGTATTTGCATTTACATAGCGGCTTTGCATCATGAGCGATTGCTGAGGGAACTCTCAATCCATGATTGTTTGTGGGATGCTGCTGCACACAATTAGCTATATCCTAGTCATATTTTCTTTACCCTGAGGGCTATGAACGATTCAAATACGTTGTCAGGAGTGGTAGTTAAGGCCAGGACAGTGGACCCATTTAAAAAGCAGCTTGGGAGGACAGTAGATGAGATATTCTGGAGGGATTGACAACAGTTGAGGCGTGGACAGGAGGATCGTAGGCCATGTTTAAAAGAATGTCTCAAGACCTACCTCGTTGATGGGCCATTTGGTCATCATTTCCCCTCACCAGCCACTCAGCTCACACCCCCAGTTTCGGTGCCAAGCCGATACTGTTAAGCGCCTTAGGACATCCTCCTAATGTGAAAGGAGCTGAACTGTAAATTTCTTATCATTCTGTATGACTGGGATCAGATGGGCTGAAGCTCCTTCTTCATCCAAACTAACCTTGTGATCTTGTGATTAACCATTAAAATGTCAACAGCTTCCATGGAAGCTTGGCCTTTCTGTGGTTCTGAATATTTTCAGCTCATGCACTGAAAACTTTCAGTTCATGTAGTAAAAACAGAAAAGCAAATTATTTTCTAGAAGGGAAGAGACTAGAGAGTGTTAGTGTTCAGAGGGATTTGGGTGTCCTTGTACACCAGTCACAAAAGGTTATATGCAGGTACAGCAAGCAACTAATGGCATGTTGGCGTTTATTGCAAAAGGGTTAAAATACAAGAGTAGGGAAGTCTTGCTGCAACTGTATAGGGCCTTGGTGAGACTGCACCTAGAGTATTGTGTGCAGTTTTGGTCTCCTTATTTAAGAAAGGACATACTCGCCTTAGAGGGGGTGCAGCGAAGATTCACTCGGTTAGTTCCTGGGATGAGTGGATTGACCTATGAGGAGAGGTTGGGTAAACTAGGCCTATATTCTCTAGAATATAGAAGAATTAGGGGTGATTTTATGGAAACAAAGAAGATTCTTATGGTTGCAGACAGTGCGAGACAGTGTGAGACTGTTTCCCCTGGTTGGAGAATCTAGAGCTAGGGGTCACAGTCTTAAGATTAAGGGACATCCCTTTCGAACAGAGTTGAGGAAACACTTCTTCATTCAGAGGTTAGTGAATTTATGGAATTCTCTACCTCAGAAGGCTGTAGATGCTCAATCCTTGAACATATTCAAGACTGAGATTGATAGATTTCTAAAGGATAGAGGGATTAAGGGATATGGGGATAAGGCGGGCGGATGGAGTTAGGTTAGAAAATCAGCCATGATCTTATTGAATGGTGGGGCAGGCTCGAGGGACCAAATGGCCTACTCCTGCTCCTAATTCCTATGTTCCTAATTCCTATGTTCCTGAAACAATCCTAGGAACACTAACAATAACAAACACAAATGCAAAGATTGTTTTAGTTCAGTAGTGAAGCTACTCAAATATTAGTTTGGGTAACTACAGAATGGAATGTACTTATCTGAGCCAGGACTGATATCAGGTATTAGAGTACATGTGTAGGGTAGATTCTATGAAAGGCAGATTGAAGAAACCCATCACCAAACAGGAACAAATTACCAAGAAGTGTGGTTGTGGTTTTAAATGAGTCCAGGGAACTGCATGGTTGCTATGATGCAAAAATGGTAAGTAGGGTGGGTGTTCTGGAAGGATGAGGAATAGGCCTAAGGGCCTTCTTCAACAAAACTGATCTTATGATCTTTGCGAAATCATAGATACTTCAGAGAACATACGAAGAAACTTCTGAAATATTGCTATCAACTATTTTGATAGTTTTGTGCAAATCAGTAGAACAC